CAGCGGTTACAGGTTATAACAGACCTCCTTCTAATCTCTATAACAGATCTCCTTCTAATCTCCTTCTAAATTTTTTGGAACAAAAAATGAAACTTCCACAGCGGCAAACTGGAGCAGAGCCCGAAGGATCTGGAAAAACGGGACCATGCAGATGAAATGGCAAAGGATCTTAGAAGAAATCTGGAGAACTCACATTAATGTTTAACTCCAACCACAGCCGAAAACAGAGTGAGTTATGAGCGGGGCGTGGCCAGGCCGTTGCTGAACTGTGATTGGACACTAGAGCAATGGCGCCAAGCACGGTTTGTGTCTGCGTATAAACTTCTTTCAAAAAACCCTTCAGCAAAGCGACCCGGTACATAGCACTAAATGCATGTGTATCCACGGGAAATTTTGTTTTCGCGCGCTTACCAACACTTTTCTGGATTACTTTGGACATAGCGCAGCCAAATTATTTGTATATATATAGGCGTGAAATCCGGGTCACTTCCCTCCTTTTTGTTTTGGCTCGTTTGTATACAGTGTCTCTTATGGGAACAGGAAAACTACTATGCTTGTACATTACCAAAATATTGGGAAGTATGAAAGGTCATTTCGGAACATTACGCTACGATAGTATATTTGGGGTACTTGAAGCGCTGTAGCATTAACACACTGCTCTGTAAATGAAAATCACCCTAACAAGTGCGATATCAGTACAGTTACCATTCATTTTTAATGGAACTTTCAACCAAAAAGCAGTGAGTGTTAAAATGTACCGATACGGAGATGTACACGAATTTGCTGCTATGTACCGCCGCGATGTTCACTTCACAATATCGTATTACAGCTGATTTCCTTTAGTCTTCCAGCGGATATTATGGGTATTTGGTCAAATGCGGCAGACAACAGACTCATGTCCGCTGGCGAACCTTGACCGTGATGGCCGAGTACTAACAGAGAATTTCGCTGTTGTTCCGCATAAGGAGAATTCGCTTCGAATAGATACACTAACCCGTCTGACCGTAAACTGGTCCCGGTTTTTCAGTCCTGAATGGAGGATGCTACTGATTAAATAACAAAATAGTTATTTATTGCTACGTGTGTGTTATGACGACCGTTTTATTGTAGGAGTACGCAGCAGTAAAGGTCAAAAGATTTATGTATTATCTCAGTTTATCTGTAAGTTTATTTACCGCGCCCTGCAAGGTCGAATAGTTAACTCCAAAACATCACGAAATACACAGTTACACGCGCATTTCGGGTGTATGCAGGACTCAGTGAGCGTGTTAATAAGTAACTGTTTTATTTGATATGAGCATATGTGCAGATGAGAATTAATGCAGCAGCGAATCGCCACTGTGGTACTGTAAATGAATTACAGTCAAGTAGAACAGCTGCTGCATTTCATTTGATTAAGGAATTTGGCCCGGTACATAGCACCAAATTTGTACACATCCACGGCATCTTTCGCTGTCGCGCACTCCCAAACACTTTTTTGCATTGCTTTATGATATTTTGTAGTCAAAGGATTCGTATACCTAGGCGAAAAAACCGTTTGTGCGCGCAACATCCGGTTCGGGAGTTATCAGTGAAATAAAATGCCAAAATTTCAAACGCGCGGAGGCGTACCAAAAGTCTCATTATGAATCGATGCTCTTCAAATTTTGCATGAAAGCGCACATTACTATGAAGGTCATTTTAGCACCGAACCAGCTTTTCCCGTTTTTCCCCCAAATTTTAAATTAATTTTTAAAATTTGAAAAAAATGGTGGAAGGCTGGTTCCGTGCTACCTAAAATGACCTTCATAGTAATGCGCTTTCGTCAAAAGTGAAAAACATCGATTCATAATGAACTTTGGTACGCCCAAACTTTTGGAATTTTATTTCACTAATAACTCCCGAACCGGATGTTGCGCGCCCAAACGGTTTTTTGGCTATGTACGAATCCTTTGGCTAGAAAATATCATAAAGCAATGCAAAGAAGTAGGATAAACAGCACATCTCATATATTTTGTTTATTCAGGAATCATTTCAAATTAAGTATCTGTACTCATACCGTCATACGTACCACAGGAGTCTTAATGCGCCGGTTTTGACGTACCATAGTCTAGACAATATCGTAATTAAATATCAGTTTTGGCAAAAATGTTCCAAACTGTTAATAATTGCCGAGTAATAAATATTTACGATTCTTTCTCGCAGCATTCGTAATACTGTCAAAAACCATAAAACAATACAGACCGGCACTAATCGGTCACGCTTCAGTGCTCTGTTAACTGTGAGGTTTAATCCGCAGTAACCCAAATAATGTTTGATAACTGTTCCTCCTCGGTAGTGGAGAAGAGAGAGTTAACGTACGGTAGTAAAGATAATTTACTGCAAAAAATCTATGCGCCGCCGATTAAGTGCTCGTTCACTTTTATATTAGCGTGAAATTACAGAATAAAGTAACCTTCTCAGTTTGTCCGGTTAAGGGCGACTTGTAGGGTATTGCCAGTCCTGCGACTTGTACCTCCCGGCAGTTTGAGCACAACGAGCTACGCGTTCACAGAAAACTTAAAAGCGGCAAATTTGTATACAGAACACATCATTCTGCGAATTCACTTGTTCAAACACAGTGTTCTCAGCAGTCCCGTTCTTCGTCCGCGACTAGTCATCAACAGCATGCCGCTCATTCAACTGAGCATCAGCCTTTCCGAAACCGATTTCCCCGCGAATTTCCACGAAGAGTTGACAACGATGCTGGGACAATTGCTGCAAGAGAATCCCAAGGTAAGCAAACTGTCAGGCGCGGTTTTCCCCAGATACACTTCAGAGTGTGACCTTTCGCAGCACATCTTGGTGTGCATCAGCACCGATCAGATCCTGACGTGCGCCGGCACCACGGAGGCCTGCGCGTTCGGTAACGTGGCGTCCATCGGAAACTCTGTTGGAACGGGCAACGACGCTTACTTCGAAGCTATGCGAATTCGTTTATGAGGAACGGGGAATCGATGATTCGCGATTATCCAGCAAACGACGTGGGTTTCCACGGCTATTTCTGCTTGTGGACGTTGTGTAGCCAAATTAAGCGTCTCACTGACTTTTCTGTTGCTCTCTGGCTGCGATGTCGAAGCAAGTACCGGCGGCCGTATATAAAGTAACTATGTAATTGTTGTACTAGCAGTTATTCTATAGCTTTGTTTGAGTACTACTGCGATTCGTTTTACGCTGTAAACTTTGCGGTCTTGAGAAAGTTTTTTTTAGTGTTTCCATAGAACACTCTGACAAGATGCGAAAGCCACAAAATGTTCTTCAACGTAGGGTTGCTTAATTTAGCAATTCAGTGATTAAACTCCATTCAGCTATCGCAGCTCGCAAGGCACTGACAGACCGGAGCGCAGCTCTCATGGTAGGGACAGCGATCTCATATGCACAACATCCGGTTAGGTAGTTATGTGTGTACAAAAATTCCTAAAAGCTTGAGTGCATTTAGCTATACCAATACTCTCATCATGGACCGATCTTCTTTAAGATTTGCATGTAAAGGCACTTATGCACGAAGATCGTTCGTACAATGAACCGCGGTTGTACCTGTTTTTCGAATTGAGCAAAAAGTTTTATAACTGCGGCAAACATAAAAAAATGGGAAAGGTTGACGCAGATAATTTCGCTCACGAGGAGTGTGGCGTCAAGTACTATTTACGCTAAGAAAAAATCTCCCGGTATATTGTACCAAATTCGCATACACGCACGAAAACTTTCATTTGTTCGCACTATTAAGCTTTTTTTGGTTTGTTCTATGACATCACCAAGCTTTGTTTCCTGTTTTTTGTGACATTACTTAGCCAAATAATTGTGTACATATACAGAGTCGGTACATAGGCGTGAAAACCGTTTTTCGCGCACGGTTTTAGCATCTTGTTAGAGTCCTGGGTACAAACAGTAACAAAAACATCTTTATACAGCACATTTTGTGCTAATATGCCAAACGAATCGCCATAAGACTCAAACGAAACCAAGCCCAGTTGCTTGTAAGAACAATTTCGAATTTTGAACGCGCAGGCTTCCGTGGTGCCTCCGCACGTCAGGAACTGATCGGTGCTGATGCACACCGAGATGTGCTGCAAAAGGTCACACTTTGAACACGCGTATGGCAAAAACCGCGAGTGACAGTTCGCTTACGTTGGGATTCTTTGTATTTATTACACAAGAAACGCAAGCAGTAACTGCACTGCCGATAAATAAAGGTAACGAAAGAAACGATCGCTGATATGATACTCACCATTCGTTGTTCATGTTAAAATATGTAATTTCATCCGCTGCAAAGCCGCACGTTACAATATGAGCCATTCTACTCGTACATCAGCGGAAAGTAAAAATCATTAGAAACAATTTAAATTTAGTTACTGCGTTTTTACCTAACACGAATGTGCATACACACACAATATTATAATATACTCGTATTTTACTATGCGCCCGAGAAATTACATCCAAATTTACTACTTCACTACCGAGCTATGAATGATTATGGACTATCTTATTTTCTTCGCAGCAATGCTCGCCCAGACTTGTAGTCCCTGATGGGTTTGTCTGCTCTTGTGTCGTAATAAAAATAATAATTTATGATTTTAGCGACAGTGATCGGGAATAGTAGTTCAGCGCTAATCGGCCATTTACCAGTGATGCGCTGACTGTAATCCGCCATAATCGTTCATAACAGAATTTCGCAAATGAACTGAAAAATTCTAAAACCATGTGATCACGTAACGGAGCAATGATTTACCGCATACCTTCTTTTGAGCGGCCGATTAAGTGCTTTTGAATGACTATCAACGTGACTTTCCCGCATAGAATGACCTTCCAAGTTTGCCCGGTTAACGGCGTTCTAGGGTACTGTCGGTCGTGTGACTGTCGTTCCCCGGAAGTTTGTCTGGGCCTTTCGATGTCAGCCGCTAGAACTGTTTGTCCCCCGAAAGCTTTATAAGCGTCGGACTTGTTTACCAACACATCAGTTTTTTCGAACACAAACTGAGTGTTCTCCGCAGTATTGCTTCGTCCACACCGATCGTCGGTCGAACCATGCTGCTCTTTCAGTTGAGCACCAACCTTTCCAAATCTGATTTCCCCGCACATTTCCACGAAGACTTAACGAAGATGCTGGGACAGTTGCTGCAAAAGAATCCCAACGTAAGCAAGTTGTCACATACGGTTTTCCCAAGATATGCTTGTCCAAAGTTTGACCTTTTGCAGCACATCTCGGTGAGCATCAGCACCGATCAATTCCTAACGTGCGGAGGCACTGCGGAAACCTGCGCGTTCGGCAGCTTGGCGTCCACCGGCAACTTTGTTAGCAAGTATAACGATTCTTACATAGAGGCGATGTCTGAGTTTATCTACGAAAAACTGGGAATTCATGACTCGCGGTAACGAGAAATGTATATCTTTAACCGCAATAACGAAACGGTTTTGTTTTCGGCATATATAAAAGTGTACATACGTATACATCTAAGTATACATAAGTATATATAAAAATATACAAATATAAAATTATATATAAATGTATAAAGGTATACGGGTATGATCGTTTTTCCTTGGGCGTCGTAATAACTGAGATGTTTTGGCAGGTTCACGCTGTTCCTCAGCGATTACCCAGCGAGCGAAGTTGGATTCCACGGCATGGCGAGGGATAGCTTTAGGCAGAGGTCGCAGACAGCACCCGCTGCCTAAGTGGTCCCAAAGCGTTCCTGTCATTTCCTTCTCATAGACTTTGTCCGGCTCAATTACCCCATTTCGCCTATCCGGCTAATCGGCTGTGTAATGTACTGGGTTTTGTGTTTCTCGATGAAGTTCCGCGGCGGCGATTTTTTGGCTGATCGCTGTCTAAAACCAAGTACCGGCCACTGGATAGAAATCGCCTGTCGGAATTGCTTGCACGAGAAATTGTGGCATAATTTTTTTGGAATCCTCCCGTGATTTGTTTGACACTTTGAGCTTTCTTGTTTAGAGATTGTTCTATGTTTGTATCAAACATTCGTACCTGATTTCAGAACCGCAAATAATTATCCTGCAATGAAGGAATGCGTATCATCGCCGCATCGCGTAAAGCTGCATATAACAATATAATCACGTATCGTAATAACATGCGCGTAAATAGCTGGAATGACCCATCAAGGACATGTTCTGTTATTCTGTCACCGGAAGCGGAAGTTGGCTAGACTCGACACGCTACCATCGGCCGGCAGTTACGTAAATAGAAATCGCCGCAATGCAGACATTTCTCGTCTGTCAGATTGGCATTAGCTTTTTGACGAGAATCCTTCTTTAATGCAAAAAGCACCTCATTTTTTTCCGCTTATTAATAATAACTGCCGTATCCCAACCGTATCTCTGCATGCCGAGAGTATTCAACTGGAAAACACGAACATTATTCGGATACTGGAAAGATGCTCGACGGATACAGTTAAGATGCATTAAGACTGCGCTATTGCAGTACAATCGAGACAACAGGCAAAAGTGTGCTTTCGATGAAGGTGTTAATGTTATAAATGCAAAATAATCTGTCGGGGGACGATGGAAGGTTTTTCTTATCTTGATACTATTCTCGACATCTCCAAGTTGTTTATTTCTGTGTGCGTTTTTTCGGAGTTCCTTGCGTTCATTATTGATATCTCCTATAAACGTATTTGCCATCTGCAGCTTTACTGGATCTGATGTGTCAGTATCTGAACGTGGGTGACGAGCTTTGTGGCGCGAGATCCTGGATTCTCAACTAATGACGAAATTACGGGCATCAGAACCAAAATGCCGGGAATTCTCTTGATGATAGCGGTGCAAATCGGTAGTTTTTGCTCCCGAAGGATTTAACTACTAAGTGTACTCGTACACTGTGACTGATTTGTCGTACGTTGATCCCAGAGTTCTTCGTGTGCAGCGCGTATTGGTCATGTGTGGATGGGTTCGTGATGATGACGACTCTCGCTCATCCGTCCGAACCGGGATGTCGAACGAGGCATCCCGTTCCGAGCGATTAGCAAGGCTCGTCGTCTGATAAAAGTTCGCAATCGACATAATCAGCTCCTAATCGAGTCGTTGCTATAGCTACCCATCATCATGTATACACAACGTGCATACGTGCATATCCACAATCCATATCCACAATAAATACGGGTACTACGTAATAATAATATTATACCTGTATGACTGTATCTATCTGTTTCCTCAAGTGCTACGGATATACGATACGTGCTCGTATGTGTCATCTGTAGATACCTGTGGAGTATGTACATGTAGATATGTATGGAAAACAAACAAATATTATTTTAATGTATGAGCATATATGAGAATATCTGTTAACACATGTTGATCTTCTGGGACATCTGTTCGTAGATGGATTTCCATCCGGATATGAGAAACCCCTTCAAAAGATCCAGACGGCAAAATAACCAAGCAATGCCTAGAGATACGCTAGCTGACTCGACTCGGATTTGAAAAAACTGCAGTGACTCCTGGATTTTCGGCTGGTGTGCCGACAATCCTTGGGTTCTGGAAGCCAATTTCGCAACTATACTACACAATATTCCATGGGCCGTAGTTGGGTCGCCGTCTCCGCCGCGGAGCACCGCCGCGTGTTTATCCCACTGCACGGCGGAATCATATCAAGTATGGGTATCCCGTACTGCCAAAGCACTGGCAGTGCTCCTCATGATCACACCACGACATCGATTAAGCACGCGATGGCTTTGACTGTGTGCGCAGCGCATTCCACCACCGCGTCGACATCCTGAATGTATTCCAGCCGCCCACCACCCCTTGCTGGTCCTGATTTGAGGAGAGAAACAGCTCACGTACAGCGACAAAATCTTTCAAGGATTTTTTAACACTGTACGCCGTGGTGCAGAGGCACTGCCTACGCGGATCTTACGACGTAGCCGGTTTTCGATTCCCCCGTCGGTGGATTTTGCGGAACATTTCTCGGTTTCCTTCGGATGGTGCCCTGCTAAGTCCGGCATTTAAGAGCCAGCCAAATGAATCGGCTGAGAGGCAGATTGTTCATTTTTTCTGGTAAGTCATCTGACTGGCATCACGTACGTTTGCAATGCGTCTGGTGAACGCTTTTGAACGGATTCAAAAAATCAATATAGAGATACTCAATGTTAGCGGTGTTGGCTTCTTTTAAGTTTGCTCTGAAATCCGTCGATCTGTTCGAATCTCTTTTTTTATTGTTAACCTTTAGCTGTTTTTTACCGACCAGACGTGGTTGTCTGCTCTTGATATATGAATGAATGAATCAGCCAGCAGCCGCCGGAAACGCAGCCATCCGTTCGGCCGTCGGGTTGATCAGATATGAAGGCACAGTAAGTAATCAATAAAATCCGGTATCACGGATTTTAACATTTTCGTATAACGCTTCGATGGCTACTTCGACGTTTTCGCATTCCGGACAGACACGGCATTCTCCGCGTGGTTCCACTTTCGAGAGCTGGATAATCTTTTATCATTCTCGTGTACACGCTTGCATAAACACAATGATTCAAAAAACTTTAGAGGACCCGCAAAAGCGTACAGATGCAAGTAGACATTAGACTTACACCTAGTGAAAGGTAAGAATTGAGAGGATAAACGATTGCCGTGTAAAGCACGTTTATCGTCTGTTTACGAGGTCACGGAAAGATCTTTCAGCGCATCTTGCGACAGCAGTGTAAACTTGTAAATGACGGTGATTATCCGTTTTAAGATATTTATCGTTTTATCCGATTTGTGTAGCCATGAAAGCGATACAATGGTGAGTAACTACGCTCGGATTCTCGAAATGTCGGTTTCCGGTGATCGGTGCAACGGGAACCCAGGGCGCAATTCCCAATGCGCCGCTTATCTCCGTAGCCCTGATCGCGTCCGAAAAGCGCCGAACATCATCCCATTAGAGAATTTTACCCTCCCGCGATCCTGGTTTGGATTAGGAAGAGCAGGTACAATACTTTGTAATTGCAATATGAATATAATTCTTATCAGGGTGATTTCTTTATTTTGTCTTTCTCGTGGTGAAGGATAACAAAATACGTATATACGAAGCACCGGTACGGCAGTATAAGGCTCCCGTCGAAACGTGATGTTCACCTTAAGAATCTGCAGATTTCAACTGCATCTGTATGAATCTGCTAAGCCGTCCGCAATATCTGCCGTGAACTGAGTAGCACTTTACACGCTGCTGCATTCCATAACCAGTTGGCGCTAACATCATCCTTCAGGCTATTTAATAATTATCATAATACCATATTTACATAAACATTCGTTTCTTTCAGGATGATCTGTTGATGACTCAGCATCTGGTAATTGTGGAAGTTTGTGATGCAACCATCATCAAAAGAATCTCCCAACAGCAAAGTTTATAACAAAAATCAGAATCAGTCGGCAGTCGTATTCCAGCAAAACTTGAAAGATCAGGAGGCCCATTAGCCAGCCGGTGCAGGCTGCAACCTCCTCCTCAACCTTTCACTCGTCAAGCCGTGGGAACCCCCTTCGTTCGCTGGATAATCGGTGGGGAACGGCGTGAACCTGTGAAAGCAGTTCATGTTGTTCCGAATCGCACAGAAAGAAAAACGTTGATATAACATCTTTTTAAGTAATGCAAATGCCAGTTCTTATTGGCGGATGCCATTAAATTATAGCGTTTTTCCATACCGCGATTTATCGATTCGCAGCTTCTCATGTTGGAATTCGGGCATAGCTTCTACGTATGCATCATGGTCCTTTCCCGCAATGTTCCCGATGGAGGCGAAGTTGTCAAACGCGCCGTTTTCCGTGGTGCCGGCGCACGTCAGAAACTGATGGTTGCTGATGCACACCGAGTTGTGCTGCAAAAGGTCACGCTCTGAACAAGCGTACCTTGGCAAAACCGTGCTGGACAACTCGCTTACGTTGGGATTCTTTTGCAGCAGTTGTCCCAGCATCTTCGTCAAATCTTTGTGGAAAGGTGCGGGAATATCGGATTGGGAAAGGTTGGTACTCTGTTGAAAGAGCGGCATGATGTCGGTAGACGACCGTTGCGGACGAAGAACGTGACTGCTGAGAGATTTCTCTTTTTTTACGGAGAAGCAATCGGTTTGTAGACTGATGTGCTTTGCTACACAAGTTTGTCGCTTATAAAGCTTTTTTCAAGAGGTAGTTTGCTGGGCTCGGATCGAAGCGGCCAGACAAAATGCCTGAAGATACGAGTCACACGAGGGACGGTACCCTAGAATCGTCCTTAACCGAACGAAACTCGAAAGGTAATTCTATTCTGGGAAGTCACGCTAAGTCGTTCGTGACTTATATGGGTACTTAATCAGCAGCACTTTAGGTTTTTTGCAGTAAATCTTTACTAATATATGTGAACAGTGGTTTTACCACTACTGAGAGTGAATATCTCAGGTCGCCGAGAACCACCGCAATTATGGCGGATTAAAGCTGGCAGTCCGCGGATCAGTGATGAATGGCCGATTGGCGCTGGTTTCTACCTTTCGCGATGGTTTACGAGGAAATTATAAATGCTGCGTGGAATATTCGATTGTGGATATCGTTGGCCCGGTAATTAAGTACCAATTCTAGAAGAACGTTTTTTTGCAATAATTTATATCGGAATTTTATCGCAAGTGTGGCTCGAATAAGTTTGCACATTATTAGTTGGTACTTGATTGCCAATAATTTAATGCAATGACTGAGCTACGTGCGGCTGCGAAGTTATTGAGAAACTCCGTAGAATAACTATTATTGATAACTACATTATTGCTTGCATTTTTCCATACAAACAGGTGTACCGAAAGTCTTATTATGAGCCGTTCTTACACTGTAGCCGTCTGCGGCTGCCAGTCCAGTGCTCTGGAAAATAGAATTCGCAATCGAATCGAATGCTATTGATTCGATCTTAATGTTTGACGAATTAGTAAAGACGAATACTCGCACCGACAAAAACGAGCAAAATAACTGTACTTTACAACTTTCCTGTCGTATAGCAGATAAAGCACGTAGCGTGAAGAAAATCACTTGAAGTTAAAATTAACTTTATTCAGTACATTTAAAAAAAGTTGATTTCGTTGTACAGATTCCAGATTTTGAATGCGTTCCTAAAATGCTCTGCTGAGCAACGATGAAACTGTGTCATACAAGCAAAATGCTGAACACAACTGACAACAAGCAGCAGTCACGCAGGCCCGACCGTTGTCTTTGCTCAGCCGGGCATCGCACGTGCATGCACCGATCAGCGAGGAATGTGTGATACATCGAAACATGGCTTGTGCTGTAAACCATATTCTGCGCTGTAACTGCTGTCAGAAACATCTTTTCGTCTCCGTTAGTTTTCAAGGCGACGGACAAAAATGTGTCGTCGATGAAGTTATTAGACGCAAGTACCCAATGCAACATGTTCACCGTCGGATGTTGAAATATAAATCTCGGATTTTTGCAGTTGTTAACTAACGTTTCCTAGTGATCCCATCAAGAGTCCTTTGTATTACGGAGTCTGCTTGCGTTCGGTGGCTTCTTCTAACTCCAGTTAAGCGCATCGGTACTTTATCTACGGTAGCGTACTAGAACTTGTGGCTTTCGATACATCAGGCCAAGTATCGTCACACAAGTATTCGGTTGCTGGCTTTCCTGTGCGAGATCATGCCAGTGGGAGATGGTAGAATGATCCCCTCGGTTTGCAACTGTCTGTAATACGGGGGAACTCGTGACGTATTTGGCTCGCTAGTGTGCACTTGTTACACGCTCCCTGGAAGAACCTCCCGAGCGACAATTCGAATAATCTCTTTGGCGCATGGTCTTGCTTTTGAACACGAGTGTTGCTCATCCGTCCAAACTCGGATGTCCAACGAGACATCTTGTCTGGACTGATTAACAACGCTCGTCGTCTGATGTTCTCGTAGCGTTTTCGCCAGGAATTCTGTTGTATTTTTTTATCATTTCCCTCCGTTTTCTCGGATGACGGGTTTCCCCAGGTCATCAGTTATGTACTGTACCTTTACGCCAGAAATTAATCACCGGGCTGGTACGTTCTGTAAATATGGCATGATTTGCACAAGCATTTAATCGTCGGTTGTATGTTCTTGTTCTTTAGGAAGAGAAACTGAGAACTGCCCGGAAAGCGCCGATTGGGGAAGACTCATTGTTGGTTGCGTGTGTAAGAGTGATAAATGACCAACGTTATACAACTCTGATTATGGGCCGATCCCCTTTAAATTTTGCATGTAAACCAACATATGTATGAAGATCGTTTTTACACGGAATCACCGCTCTGGAATTTTTTTTCACAATTTAAAATCAATTTTCAAATGAAATTTTAGAATGAATCGTGCATGTACACGAACTTGGTACCATGGAAAGAGTAAGTACCGGTAATATTCTGGCAAAATGATTTTGAAAGAAATTTGCATTTTGCAGAAATTTTCGCAGCAGATGCTAAATCAAGTTTCCAAAAGCTGCCATCTGTTCGCCCACCGGAAGCAGTTGGATTTTGTAAATGGAAGCAGTTGGATTTTGTAATTTTGAAGTTTTTAGTTTACTTATTTTTACAGAACGTCTAAGCAACTGGAAAGTGGAAGCGAACAAATTTACGGTGAAATTCAGGTTAGGTAGCGAGAAATCAACTGACTAGCTATCAGAATCAAATAAAATAAAACCAAAATGTGCTTGGCAGTGCGCTGAAGGGAAAGTTCTTGTGCATGTGCACGAATTAGGTACCACGTATTGTACCTTTCTATCATAAGGATTCTTGTTGTTGTAATTAACTCGATTATTATTAAATAACCTGATTCCCGTCCCCGTAGCGAGTTAACGAACTGCGTTGGAGATAAACCGCTGTAGGATTAGGTCAGGTGGCGTCCTGCGGTGAACTGCTACTGCAGTTGGCAACAAGTGTTTCTTGAGTGAACGTTTCTTAGTGATCAAACACGAAAAACGAGACTACTTAAGTACTAAATACTCAACTTGCATCCCTATCGGCTGTAAATAAATACAATCCGCAAACATATCTGTCACGTATGGCAAATAGGGATACTATTTAATACGACGTAAATGGTAGCTAGCCAGTATGAGACCTGAGCAAAAACAGCCATCAATACAACCAGCACTCAATGCGTTGCTAAGTACTGGTACAACAAAGCAGATACACGGGAACACAACAATGTCATGGATAGAAAAGATTTACTTCACACAATAAGAGAGAAGACATAATGATTAGTAGCATCCCTGGTTAACAGCATCGAAATGCAGCCATCATTTAATGGATTCCGGTCGCACCTTGCCGCTGTGAATTCTGGTAACATGGCGTTTCTTGCCGGCAGCGCTACGCAAGGTCTTCTCGCAGCCATCCACCCCGCACGGAAACAGATCCATGCGCGGCTGCCGCGGACACGCATGCCACTGCAGCGCCGCGGCACTGGCATGCGGCACTAAGCAGACTTTGCAGCGGAATACCGGCGGCAACGAGATCTGCCGTCTGCGTTTCGCCGGCACGCCCTGCGCCGTCCGTGAACGCTGGCCCTCCACCCGATGGGGCACCGTAGCGCCAGTCACGGAACCGCTGGTTCCCGCGGAGACCCGGTTCGTGGCTGCTGCCGTCGAGTTGCGATGGAATTTCGTGTACACGATGGACGGATGGACATCGGAACTGAGTTGACCAAGGAGGACGTGCGGGGCTCCGGGGAGCTGTGCGGACTGCCCAGTGGGGAGGGCAGGAGGCGGGGCCACGCGCGCGTCACCCGAGAAAGGAATGGCGCCGCCTACGGGCAGCAGCGGGGCGGCCGTCGGCTGCTTGTTGGTTTCCACGTGATCGGCGATCGTTCCAAGCGGAAGCGGTGGCACTGGAGCGGGCAATGCAGGCACCAGCTCCGCTGCGCCATCGACACCCGCCACGGGATGCCTGAAATAAAGCGCAAGTAGCAGGAGCGCTGATATGCTGCAGCAGACTTCGAATACAACAAATTTTGCTAATAGAAATTTTGCAGTTGGTCTCTGCTCTGCGTTAATACAGAATACCAACGATGCACCGTAATTGCGCGACGCTTGAACGAGTTTATTTTGCTCCTTACTGTCCAGCAGCGGCAATACGCGGAAATGGAGCGGCCGCCGGCATCTGCGTTGGTCCGACCGCATCCGGGTGTTTGGCGAAGAGCGCTTGCACGGTGGCGTTGAAGTGCAGGAGCTTAGCACTGCGCGCCGTCTCCTCCGCTAAGCGGGTCTCCAGATTCATATTACGGAACTGCTGGTCGCCAATCAGCTGGTTCTTGGCGGCCATCTCCGCGCGCAGACTGCCCACCGTGGCCTGCAGTTCCGCGATGACAGCGTCGCGTTCCACTATTTGCTGATGCAGCGTCCCGGCCTCTGCAAGTACCGATTCGCTATTAATTTTGTCGATGCAACTAGCGTATCGAAAGCCCAATGAATGCCGGTTAACAGAACCGCGCAGCACTCACGTGCGGCGAGTCGTTTGTCCTCTGCCAACATGGTCCTTAAGCGCTGATACTGCTACAAGCAAAGCATTTATCATGGTAACCAGTCGGCTAGGAAGGACCGCGTGGCAGATTCTTACTTCATCCAGTGCCTGGATCGCTTCATGTCCGCCGCTCCTTGACTGGGCTATAAGACAACCAGAAACTTTGACCAGAGTAACTACTACCGGGTACGTCCTGCCAGCTGCCCTACTTCCGGCTACATTAACATCAGCAATCTAGCATCGGATTTTCAGCCTTCGAATTACGATGCTTGTAACTTAAGGGATTTGGCTCGGTACATAGCACCAAATTTGTATACACCCACGGCAACTTTCGCTGTCGCGCTCTCCCAGACACTTTTTTGCATTGCTTTATGATATTTCGTAGTCAAAGGATTCGTATATATAGGCGAAAAAACCGGTTGTGCGCGCAAAATCAGGTATTAGTGAAATAAAATTTCAAAAGTTAAAACGCGCGGGAGGTGTACCAAAAGTCTCATTATGAACCGATGCTCTTCAAATTTGCACGAAAACACACATTAATATGAAGATCGTTTTGGTACGAAACCAGCTTTCTACCATTTTTTTCAAATTTTAACATGAATTTCAAAAATTTTAAAACTTGATTTAGAATTTGAAAAAGATGGTAGAAAGCTGGTTCGGTACCGAATCGATCTTCGTAATAATGTGCATTTTCGTGCAAAATTTGAGGAGCTTCGGTTTATAATGCGACTTTTGGTACACCTGTCGCGCGTTTTAACTTTTGGAATTTATTTCACTAATAACTCCCGAACCGGATGTTGCGCGCGCAAACGGATTTCACGCCTACGTATATAAATTCTTTGGCTACAAAATGTCATAAAGCAATGCAGAAAAAAGTATTTAGGGGTGCGCGACAGCGAAAGTTCCCGTGAATGCACCCGAATTTGGTACTATGTACCGGGCCAAATCCCTTAAACAGCAAACAGAAACCAGCGTTAATCAGTACACAGATTTCATGACTACTGCGTAATACCTGTTTCGGCTGAACGATGCAGTGGCGGTTCGTTAATATTCGCGCCGGTCATGGTGCCGCTATCCGCTATCCTGGGTTCCCAGTGTGCTGATGAAAGTTCTGGACCCAGGCAAAAAATTTATGCCATAAGTGCAGCACAAAATTACTCACAAATGCATTTACATCGGAGGTCGATTAGCCGTTACCGTGAGACTGGAAAACCAGGAAATTACGCGCTTCCACCGAAATAATTGAAAAGGTCGCGATTTTGAAGATTTAATGGGTTCTTACCGTTTAGGCGTTGCGTCTCTTTATACTCCTGCAACCAAACGGCAAACAGTTATTGCTGTGCTGCAGTAACTACTCTAGTAGATGGGTTACAAATTTCGGTGGCGACTAATAAAATAAACCATCAAGGTATCAATTACAATCACTGACTTTTACGGACGAGATGGCCTTCAGAGTCAAGAACAACTTCAAACCGCGTTTAAACGCGCTTTAGAAACTGATAACTGGAGAAAACTGCTGACATGATAGCAGAGACAGGGCGAAGAAAATGCTTGTGCCCTGCCCGAATAAAATAGCCAAGGTCACGAAACAGGATCCGGGCGGTTTTTACGGAGAAACGAAGACGATTGTCCGCTACGCCTTATTTTAAGGAAGCAGGTAACAAGATTACTTTAAATTATCCTGCACCATCCACAGTGCCAATATTGCACACTTAAAGCATTTTCGTCGAAAGACATTACGTGCCTCGTCGAACTACTATTCGGTACTCGCAGTGGAGGATAATTTTCGCATCCGGCAGCACTAGCAGCACCACAGAGTATGGTGTGCTCATACACGTTACAGACGCTTCGGATTGCCACTTGCTGCACTTTGTCCGAGCTGTTAATTGCTGGATACCTATCTGCCAAGGAAGCGGTTGTATTACCATTGCGAATCTTGATTCATCCAGGCGGTTAAGGTGCCCATAAATTTATCGGAAATTTTGTAAGCTCCAGCCATTTTAATCCTACTCGATGATTACTAAACACATCGTTAATCTTTATGATGCCACGCCATTTGTTGTTGTTGACTTGTGCGATCCCAGTAAGGATCGTTCTTGCCCATTAGCTTCGTCAATGAAAAATAGGAGATATCAGAGATTGTGTACTTAAGGTTCTTTGGCATGTATCGGCATCGAGAAGTTGTTTTGCCGTGTTTGTCACGGATTGCGTAAAATCTTGCTGATACCGCATCGGACTACCATGCCATGGCGCAATGCCTGGGATCTGTTTGGATTTTTGTGGATACTGCGTGTTTGTGGGGCATTTTTACGGTCCGAATCCGTCCGATGGATGCATCATGTATGCTTCCGATCGTGGCACTCTGGCTACCCGTTTTGTCACAACCCAACTATTCGAAGACTCAACGAGCGGTTAGTCGTCATGCTCTCGCTTTGAATTGCTGGATCCACCATGTATCAATGGTCTGTGAGGAGAGAAGCGGCTCACGTACAGCGATAAAGTTTTTCGAAGGATTTCAACGTATTGCGGTGTGGTGTAGTGGTACTGCCTACGCGGATCTAACGACAAAGCCGGGGTTCGATTCCGCCATTGGCCCCTTTTTCAGCCGTTTCTCGGTTTCCCTCGGATTGCGCCCTGCCTAGAGGCCCTTGCCATCTCGTGCAGTCACTGCAGTGAGCCCTATGAGGCATCTCGATTGGGATCACGCGCTGGCAGCTGATAGATCGTGATTACTTGGCCTTGGCTGGCCTTAAACTGCCGCGAAAACAAAGCTGGCGACGAACAGTGTTTGTTGATAGCCCACATGGATTAGCCGCTTCATGTGGTCGGTCGACGAAAACTTTCCGCTGGCGACGGATGCCATTTATGCAAATGTAGCAACTGTTTATGCGCGTGGGGGACGCGCGTTGACATACCCGTCGGAGTGGAAAACTGCTCGCAGCTGCTTTTTACTGTAAGTCATCGCTTTTAAAGAAAATATCGATGACTGCACGGTACAAGTGTAATATAAACGTTACAGTGGTGATGACTGTAATATAAATATTACATCCGACGGGAACAGATAGTTCCCGTCTAACTGCTAGTTGGTGGATTCACTGGATTCCTGATTAACCAGCGTGTGCGTTGTGATCCCGTGCGGAAAATGCTTGATTTCCAACCCGACTGGGAAGTATCTGGATTTGCGCGCTTTATCATCGTGTGTGGATGGTGCAAACCATTTCTGCATGTGACACCATCGGGCATACCGGCACAGGCCGTTCAATTGGCTCACATCGACGTCGGCCACCGCGTCCACGCTCCAATGCCGTCCGCGATAATGCGCCGACGGACGCGGGTCGCAGGATTAGTAGTCGGGGAGAATCTGCGCGGAATAATTCAGCTGGATTACACCGTGACACAGTTCTACATAAATCTGGTAAGATCTGGCGAAGTTAAATTCGGACTGGTTGTAATGCACCAGAAATCTTATCCCGGACCGGAGTTTGGTTAAATGGACATGCCGAAACACACCTACCAGCTTGTTTTAGAATTTCTATCGCTTCAGCACAGCGACAAATACAAATTCACGGGTTACGTCAAATTCTCCTACTACAGCGCACAATGCCAACCTATTTGTATTCACGCTCTACATACATTTGGCATGGCTGCTGCACGACAAGCATCCATCTAAATTATTAACTATCGATACAAGATTACAACTTGTAATCTTGTTTCTTGTATAGATTATCTGTTTGTTATTAAAGTAACTTTCCTCCTGATTTCTACCTTAATTATTGCGCGGATTGAATTCGTTATTGGCGTAGTGGCAATCGTTCGTATTGGAATCTTTCACCCTACATCCCGAGCTACCTACATGTTAGAAATGACGGGACAAGCTTATAATATTGTACATACCTCACCTGCACCAACATCTTTTTGCAGTCAAGGCGATCGGTGGCGAACTGGAGCCAGCGATACGCATCCAGGACCAGGGGCGATACTTCCCAGCACAGATGCTTCTCTAACAAATCCGCAATGTCCGCCTCTTCGCTATTCTTTACCTTTTTAAACAATCGAGCCCATCCAGCTCATGTTCGTCCACATCCAGCAATCCAGCAAGGTGTTCGGTGGGAATATTTGTGGTGAATCTTGAAATCAATCGAGCCCAGCCGCTGCACGAGGACTTTCGCTCCATGCCACTGGAGCGGAACTCTTCGGGCAACGGCACACTGGGCTATCGCCAGTATTCCCGCAACGCAACGCTGCTGCAGCACCCGGGATTCCACATCGCCCTCGTCACAAACGTCGCCGTAATACTGTATACGGGCTAGAGGCAGCCAAATTGTCATTTCCATAGGGTTGAGGCTCCCAGTTTCAGCCAGTTCCCAGTTGCCGGCTAAAACTGGGAGCCGCAGCCCGATGGAAACAGGCTGCCAGAGTTCTGTGGTTAATAATAATTTTTATAGAGATCACTAATAATATCAGTCATAACACGGCGGCGACCAGAGATGGTGTACCAAGCTGCATATGCAGTACTTACACAGTTATTAGGGGGGATCCATAAATTACGTACGCTGGTTCTTCGAAAATTTGGACCCCTGCCCCCAGCCTGGTACCCGGGTTCGTACTCCATGTTAAATCTATTAAAGTGTACTTTGTTAAAGTATTACCCTTTTTTATACTAGTTAGTACAAAACAACAACGAAATTAGAGGTACATCGTCCAAAGCCACAGCCACAGGGAATGCATGCAGTTGCTAAGTCTTCACTTGTATCAATCACTTGAATTCACTTCCACAATATTTCGAGAACCTCGTGACATGCAAGTTTACCACGTGGATTACACCAACGGTGTGGCTTATATGTACGAGTACACGGATGGTGCGGACGAAATTCGTTTCCGTCTGGAACGGTCATGAACTGCATGGGTCCATGAACAGCATACGGATACCAGTAGACTTTCCATTCAAACGCTGGTTATTCCGCAGCACTAGAAGCGTTAATCACTGCATAGACTGGAGAACTTTGCGATTTCGAGAGTAATATTAAAAGGGAATATTGTTCAGCGGCCGACACGATTTATGGGCAACTGCACGCCACGCGAGATCCATTAGCAAATTAAATTACGGTCGATACGCGACAGTCTCATTCTGGTTCGCCGTCGCAACGAACAGAATTCACGGTATATAGCACAGGCAGAGTGTGGTGTACAGAAACGGCCTGAACGCACACAAACTGCTCGATCAGCAGTGCCATACGCGGGTAAGTACATTCTGTGGCTCTGTTAATTTCGCACAGTCGCTGTATAAAGTGGACGTCAATTTGTTAGTGAAATAGTGTACGCAAGCAATTTTTTTTCAGTTGGACAATAATTCTTATGAAGTAACAAATTCTCTAGGTGTCAGGATCAGTGGCACAATGTGCCAGCTATGCGGTATGTATTCGTTGTTGTTGAGCTAATAGTTTAGCACACGATTACTTGCTCAACGTTTCCTTCGATGTGTCACACGGGTATTTATCTGTAGAGAACTGTTCATCTAATAAAACGTAAGCTACAGCCGTTTCTTAAGGAAAATGACCCGGTGCATAGTGTCAAAAATGGAAAAGACACACTAAAACTTCGCTCTCGCGAACTGCGAATCACTTTTTTGTAATATTTTATGTCATTCTAAAGCAAATTGATTTGTATACATTGTTCTGAAAACCGTTTGCGCGCGTAACATCCGGTTGCCAAGATATGGCGAACTCAAGTGGGCGAAAGTTTAAATGCAGTGCAGCAAACACACTAACGGCGCGATTGCATCACACCTGGGATAATCTCAGACAAATAACACACGCTGAAAAAGCCAAATAAACTACAGATTCAGCTGGCGAACAACTTGATGAAAGCACTTATGATACAGAGCTGTAGCTATTCACAAGAATCCAGGATGGGTTGACGCGACGCGGTCATGCAATCACACAACCTTCGCCGCTGCCCGTTTGCCGTGTGTAGTTCTCTAACCGGGAATCCTGTCGCGTCCCGACCAATTCCGGCCGATCCATGCCGTCCGTGTAGATCCGGTATAGATACGCGAAGCGTTCATCGTCCCGCTCGGTGGACGGCGTGCTGGTGATGTAGGTGTCGTTCCACGTGTGCATGGCGTCGAAGCCGTACACCGACTCGCCACCATGCGCGTTGCGCATCACCAGCGTCTCCGCGCAGACGATGCGTACTTCCGCCGCCCGCACCCACTGATCCGCACGCCGGCGACACGCTGCTTGCGTTTCAAAGACGCCCTTGGCGAAGAAACCCGGCTGTTTTCTCATCTCCGGGATGAGCAGTTTGGAGCGCAGTTGGATAGTTGGAAAGGACGCGGGACCGTCGGCCGCGCTCTCGATGACGAAAGCTACCCGCAGAAAGCTGAAAAACGGTTTTCAGAACATTGCATTCAAATCATTTACTCGTATGCTCGTTCAAGTGAAACACTATGATAAGTGAATGAGCGATGGTCGTTCAAGTGAAACACCCAAAATATTAAATTCCCCAAACTGGTTTTCTTCCGGTTTCTTTCTGTATACAATTAAGAAGGATTTACCCTTTACAGAGTACTTGAAATTTTCAAAAAAGCTTGAACCGTTTTCTTGCTAATGCGTCGTAAAGAAATCAGTGACGAAAGCGCTTTAGCCCAGCTACTGCACTAGACTCATATAATTGGAGTCACCACCGTACATGGGCGGCTGCGCCATCGCCGTGTTAGAAGTTAATTTAGTTCAGCTTAATTTATATTTAATTTAGGTTTTTTCTTCATTTCTTCAAAGTTGATGTCTTTAAACTGAATTCGAGTTTCTCTAAATCAACTTCTAACACGGTGATAGCGAAGACGCCCATGCACGGTGGTGACTTCAGTTGTATGACCTTAGCGGTCTATAATGAGACTTTCGGTACACTCGAATGCATGTAAACGCTTTGGAATTCCTTAAAACCATAAGTTCTGAACCGAATGTGTACATCTTGATCTGGGTACAAAATGTCATATAAGACAGCAAAAAAGTGTTTGGAAGTGCTCAAAAGTGACAGCTTTCATCCGTATACACCAATTTGATACCATGTACCAGGCCATTTCCTGTAAGTGAATTTAGCATTGGCGGGTGCACGTCAAATACTGACATCGGATAAACATATTTATCGCAAATCGAATAATTTTTCCGATTAAATCATTGCAGGATCAAATGTATCACTGCGATAATCAATACTGTATCTGTGGTTGCTGCTTCCTCAGCGCCTATTAACCCACCGGAGATAATTAAGGTATGTCTTGCGCTCATGGTACGCCATAACGTTGGTGTCGATGCCCTTGATGTAGCTCCAGCGGAACATGACCGTCTGCACGTTAACCAGACGGTAGTTGGGCGGCACCGTCACCAGCCACTGCTGGACACGCTGCAACACCACGGGAAAGCATTCCATGCGGGGATAGGTGAAGAAGCCTTCTTTCTCCAGCATCTGTGGCACAAAATCCTGGAATCCGACCTGGACATCGCCACCGGGACCGCGGATGTAAAAGATGCGGATAAGGTGAACGAAGCGCTGACTGGCGAAACCCCGCTCCGTCCAGTTGGTGCGATCGGGGTCCAACGCTGCAGCAAAGGAGGGTAATGAACTTCATTCTCACCGTCTCACCTTTTACAGAGGGTTGTTCTGCCAAGTGTACACTGCTGCAGTGTATGTATGTACCTATGTACGTAATACCGAAGTGTACGATACGATGCTGTTCTGTTGTACATAATTTCCCGTGTTTCGTTGTGCTATTCCAGCTAGCAACTTCCTGTTCTTTACTGCAGGTACTTAGCAACGATTCCTATTATTCAGTTCAGCTGCGTTTTCTTATACGGTACAATAAAGATCAGATACAAACCGGTGCTTTGCACGGTACAAAGTTACTATACGCAAAGTTACAAAGTTACAAAGTTAGTTAGTTACAAAGTTAGTATACGCACTTCTCAAACGTTGCCATACTTTACAACAGCTTACAAAGAATTCATTTTTACTCGCCGCAATAACATGTTACTTTTCCAAACATTTTATCATAGTGCCAAAAGATTCAGTCGTACTACGAACTGGACCGGGCCAGTTAAAATTTGTTACAGAGGAAAACAATAAATTCATGCCCGGCACTTTGGTAATGTACAAGCTTAGGGGAAGCGGCCCGGTACATGGTATCAAATTTGTGGACTGGCTTGAAAACGTTCGCTTTCGCGCACTTCCAAACAGCTTTTTGTTTTGTTTTATGACATTTTGCCCAGATGCTTCGTATACATTGGCATGATGACCATTTGTGCGGGCAGTTATGGGTGGAAGTTAATTCAAACAGTTTAAAGGGACTCGGGTTACGGGCCGCTCTTCTTCTAGCTTCGCCTGTAAACGCAAATATGCATGAAAATCGTTCTTAAACCGAATCACGGTTCCGGAATTGTTTTCACATTATCAAACGAAGTCTAAAAATTTTAAAAATTAGTTTAAAATGTGAAAAAAAATGCTGTAAAACGTGGTTCGGTGTGAAAACGATCTTCAAAGTTTAGATTTACGTCCATTTATGAGCAAACTTTACAGAAGATCGGTTTATATTGAGACTTTTGGTACACTTAATGCATTTAAACTTCTTGAAATTTTCTAACAGCCATAACTTCCGAACCGGATATTACGAGCAGAAAAGGTTTTCACAAACAAGCAACACTCCATCGTGTACAAATCATGTGGCTGCAGAATGTCCTAAAGTAGAGCAAAAATGTATTTTGGAGTGAGCGAAAGTGAAAGTTTTCGTGTACTTATATTCACGAATTTGGTACCCTATACCGGGTTATTTTCCGTAACCCGTAATTTCTATCGCATTAATGCAGCCGTAAGTACAAATTCACGGGTTATGCCAACCTCCACAGTACGTATTGCTCGCCACGCCACACTACCGGGACAAATCTGTATGACAAAAAAGTAGTTGGCTGACTGCTTCATTTTAACGCACATTTCGCAAACCGAGGCGCATATTGCAGTTTGTTATATGATTGAACTATAGTTCAAGCGGCTGATTTTCATTTTTTGCCGTACATTGTACATCCGTGCTGCTGACTGACCCTTGCTGCCCCGCTTAATCGGCAAGGTCTCCACCGTGATGATTGTGCCTTTGATCAGAGTACGATTGATCCGCAGCAGGACGTCGTCCAGTCGCTGCACTGTTTCATCGCACTGGATGTCGGGAAGGAAGTTTAGATATCCGAGCTGCTCCGGCGCGGTGTCACTCATCGGCACTGCATTCGGCTGCTGCGTCCACAAGCGCAGACCCCGGATGTACCGGTTGGGCGCTTCCCCTGCAACCAGTCCGACAATATGAGTGACTGTTTAAACTTTGCAGGTTAGGTAGGTAATTATCATGGCTCCGATTCTTGAATCATATGAAACATACGTAGCTTTGTATTTACGTTTTGGTAGCGTCAAGCTTTTAACTTCTACTATACGTGTATTTGGTGTTGAAATATCCCAGCAAAACGAATGTAGCGATTCATGTAGCGCGGCACACGGTGGACTGTGATCAGTATAGGGAAACGTATGCTGACAGTATATCTAATAGATATGGACGAATGTGTACACGGTAAAGTTTGCATGGCATTCTTTTGGGAAACGTATCACAGGTAGCCCAACGTGTACGTCCGAAACAGCCCCTATTGTCTACAGGAATATCACTTCAAACAGCCCCTGCATCCCACCAAAACTCACAATATTTTTTATGTATCCTCCATATTCACCGACGAGTTCCCATTCGGTTGACGGTTTAAATATGACCATAATGATTGATAGTATAAATAAACATGAGGCTTCGCTGGATGAAAATAAAGTTCAACTTCATAAAATCTGTACGAGTACCACATAAACGTAAAGGTGAAGTTCGCAATAACGGGGCTATTCGGTAATCGGGAAATCATGTGGTACTTGGTACTTCTAAATTCTAATGTGGTGTATTATTACATTTACTGGAGGTTTTGTTCTTTATGTTAATGTTTAAGTAACACAGGGCTGCTTTAAGTAGTTTATGGCTGTTAAAAAATTCCAAAAAAGTTTAATTGCATTTAGGTGTACGGCCAAAAGTCTCATTATGGACCGATCTCCTTCAAACTGTGCACGTAAATGCACATAACCACGAACAGCGTTTTTTCAACTGTTCACTGTTCTAGCATGCTTTTCAGACTTTAAAATAAATTTTAAAAATCTAAAAATTCATTTTAAAATTTGTAAAAAATCATGATAGTGTGGATCGGTGTAAAACGGTCTTCATAGTCATGTGGATTCACATGCAAAATTTGAAGGAGATCGGTCCAGGATGAGACTTTTGGAACACCTGAATGCAATTAAACTATGTATTTGGAATTTTCTAAAAGCCATAACTCCCGAACCGGATGTTACGCGCACAAACGGTTTCCACTCCAGTGTATACAAATCTTTTGGCTTTAGAATGTCGTAAAACGAAACAAAAGTGTTTGGGAGTGCGCCAAAGTGAAAGATTTCGTGCATGTACACGAATTTGGTACCATGTACCGGTCCACTTCCCTAAACTCGTTAACATTATGTATCCCATATAATTATGTTGATTTCAGTATATGCTATCTCTGACTTGGGTTGAAGGATACCTACAAAGGTTATCTGTGGAAAAATAAACTGTGTCTTACGTTTACATCAGTTAAAACTAGCTGATCAGTTGCGTGTTGACAAGCGCCTAACGTACCGTACGCCGTGAACACCGACTCCACCGTCCCCATGTTCTGTCCTTGACCCCGCTGGTTGACGTGGAATTCGACGCTCTCGCAGGTATTGACGGTGCAGCGGGGATGGTCGCGCAGGTAGCCGTTGGCGCGCTCCACCAGGACGCCAAACGGCTCGTACTCGGGACGGTGGCCATGGCCGTCCTCCCTCGTCATCCGCGGCAGGAAATCCGCCGCCTGCAGACCACTGGCCGGCTGGGAGACGGTCGGGGCGGGTCCCGTCGCCGCTCCGTAATCCGGCGGGACGTCCGCGTCCTCCGGAGTCCCGTCCATGGGGGATCGGTTCTCTGCACTGCTTATCAACGCGTTCCATACGTGCGGATCCTGATCAAACGTTTGTACGCGTAGTTAATGATGCTAACTGCACGGTTAGTTTTCTTAATGTCGCGAGCAACGAATTCAGCTTTTGCCCAGGAAATAAACCACGCTGGATTATTTTAGGCTTCTACGGTGCACATCAGGTGATGAATACTCAACAGCCTTACTCAAACAGGGAGTGCCAACATGATGCACAGCTGGAAAAAAGGAGTACAGTCGAGATGGCAAAGAGTTAACGGTTGGCGGTTGGCTGCAGCAGACAACATATCCGTTGCACTGTCACCGCCGTACTATCAATAGAACACAGACGGAGAAGCGGCACGCCTGCTTCCGGTGCTACGTCACGAGCAAGCTGACTAACAGCATGTTTTACATCACAAAATCTCCATAGGATGTTGGGTTTAACGCTTTCTGGTTTATAGGAGTTTAAGACAAGCTCGCAATAGTTCAAAAGAAAAGATCACGAATTTCGACTTCTTCAGATTTCTCGCTTGTATAAAGTGTGGTGCAGTGCGTGCACAGCAAACAGTGGAAGAAGAACGGCTAAATGAGACTTTTGGTACGCCTGTCTGTATGGAAAATTGTTTTTGAAATTTCATTTCGGGAACAGCTACACAGCCAACGGTTTTCACGCTTAAACATACTGGTTACTGGATGACAAAATGTTCACACAAGGTGTGAAAATGTGTTTGGCTATGCGCGACAGCGAGCGTTTTCGTGGATGTACCTGAATTTGGTGATGTGTATCCGGTTTATCATAATATGCATTTTATTCGTGTGTTACAGATACATCAATATTGGTACTGTACAGTGTACATTTACTGTAACAACTATACTTTTTTGATGCTTAGAGAAACACTTACAAAATGAAGACCATGATTGTTTTCATGAAATCAAACTATTAGCATAACTCAAAATGTACTAGCTTAGGCAATTCACGCTTTCGATAAAATTCAGATATAAGTGATTGCAAAAAACTTCCTTCCGAAATTAGTACTAAATATCATCCATCACATTTTCCTCGCAGCATTTATAATTTCGTCGTAAGACCATCGCTAAAGGTAGAAACCAGCGCCAATCGGCCATTTATCACTGATCCGCGGACTGCCAGCTTTAATCCGCCATAACGCGATGGTTCTCAGTGACCTGAACTATTCACTTTCAGTACTGGTAAAACCACTGTTCACATATATTAGTAAAGATTTACTGCCAAAAACCTAATGGGCGGCTGATTAAGTACTCATGTAAGTCGAGCGACTAATAGCGTGACTTCCTAGAATAAAATTACCTTCACAAGTTTTGTTCGGTTAAGGACGATTCTAGGGTACTGCCAGGCGTGTGACTCGTATCCCCCGGCATTTTGTCTGGCCGTTTCGATCCGGGTCCAACAAACGACCTTTTCACGAAAAGCTGTATAAACGATTAAGTTGCATACTAACACATCATTCTGCGGAGTTACTGCTTCAAACACATAGTGTGCATTCTCCGCAGCCGCATTCTTCGTCCGCACCGATCGTCTGTCACCATGCCGCTCTTTGAACTGAACACCAACCTTTGCAAATCTGATTTCCCCGCGCATTTCCACGAAGACTTGACGAAGATGCTGGGACAGCTGCTGCAAAAGAATCCCAACGTAAGCGAGTTGTCAGGCGCGGTTTTGCCAAGGTACGCTTGTTCAGAGCGTGACCTTTTGCAGCACAACTCGGTGTGCATCAGCAACCATCAGTTTCTGACGTGCGGCGGCACCACGGAAACCGGCGCGTTTGACAGCTTCGCCTCCATCGGGAACACTGTTGGAAAGGACCATGATGCTTACGTCGAAGCTATGCCCGAATTCCAACATGAGAAGCTGCGAATTGATGAATCGCGGTAAGGAAAAACGCTATAATTTAATGGCATCAGCCAAAGTCTAATAAGAACTGGCATTTGCTTTACTTAAAAAGATATTTTTATAACGTTTTTCTTTCTGTGCGATTCGGAATAACATGAACTGCTTTCACAGGTTCACGCCGTTCCTTAGCGATCAGCCAGCGAACGAAGGGGGTTCCCACGGCATGACGGGTGAAAGGTTGAGGAGGAGGTTGCAGCCTGCACCCGCTGGCTAAGGGGCCTCCTGATCTTTCAAGTTTTGCTGGAATACAGCCGCGACTGATTTTGTGTTATAAACTTTGCTGCTGGGAGATTCTTTTGATGATGGTTGCATAAAACACTCGCACAATTACAAGATGAATCATCAAAAGATTATCCTGAAACAAATGAATGCTTATGTAAATATGGTAATAAACCAGCTCAAGGTCGATGGTGTGTGCCAACTGGTCATGTAGTGCAATGGCGTGTATACTGCTAGTTCAAGGCAGATATTGCGCATTGCTTGGCAGATTCCAACCGATGCAATAATTATTAAAATCTGCAGATTCTTAACGTTAACATCAATTTTCGATTGGAGCCTTATACTGCTGCAGCGGTACCTCATTATACGTATTTCGTTATCCTTCACCATGAAAAAACAAAACGAACAAATTACCTGATAAGAATTATATTCATATTGCAATTACAAAATATGACTGGCTCCCGTTTTACCGATCACCGGAAGCCGACATGCCGAGCGGAGTTGCTCACTGTTGTATCGCTTCCATAGCTGCATAATCGTAAGCTTAAAATAATCGCATAATCGCTTAGCTGCATAATCGTATAATCGTAAGCTTAAAACGGATAATCAGCAAGCATTCACAATTTCACACTGCTGTCGCAAGATGCGGTGAAAGATCGCCTCGTGACCTTGTAGACAGACGATCAAACGTGCTTTACACGAAGAAATTACAATTTTTTTAATTATTAGTGTAAACAGATTCCCAGGCAAACTCTTACCAAATACCCAGCAACTAAACGCATTACTACAACCAGTTACATGATGGGCAGTGTTGTATGTATCATCGAGCAACGTATGTACATGCAATTTGTGCTGTCGAAATCCGACAGCACAGTAGTGGATTTTACTGGTCGCTACTGAGACTTCCAACACATTATTTTTAACTCCGCATTCTCGGGCTCATTCGCGATATTCCTGTCGTTTATCGGGAATTTTTCCTTGTCGTGGTGTTATGCCCGAAATTGTTACTGTGCTGAAATCCTCGATGAACGTATTGACTGTAGTCGTAATTCTCACATTTCACTTGGGGTACGTCTTATGTTTCTTGCACCTTTGCGCGGGTCCGCTAAAGTTCTCTAAAACTCCTAAGAAACGTGTTGCAGTTATCTCGGATACTTGGACGTTTTTCGCATTCCAGTCATTGATATTCAAAAACTGATTACGTCATAAACGTCTATACGAGATTGATAAAAGATTATCAGGTTCTTGAATGTGGAACCACGCGGAGAATGCCGTGTCTGCAGTGTCCGGAATGCGTAAATGTCGAAGTAGCCATCGAAGCGTTATAAAGAAATGTCAGAATTCGAGATAGCGGATTTTGCTGACTGCCCGAGGCAGATGACGTACCAGAACAATTTTGGCTCTCCGCCGATGTTGTAATAATCATTTGGCTGGCTCTCCATGCCAAATCCGCGTAGGAAGTACCACTGCACTACGGCGCACAGTGTTGAAAATCCTTGAAAGACTTCGTCGCTGAACGTGAGCCGCTTGTCTCCTTAAACCTGGACCAGCATATGGTGTATGGTGTTAGGGGGCTGGGATGCACTCAGGATGTCGACGCGGTAGTGGAATGCGCCTTGGACACGGTAAACGCCAGCGTGTGTTTATTCGATGCCATGGCAGAACCAGGTACCATACTTGATATGATTCCGCCATGCAATGGGATAAACACGCGGCGGTACTCTGCGACGGAGACGGCGACCCATGCGGATGCAGGCGGTTGGCGGTGCAGTACACTGTTAGCACGATGCTGTGTACATGTAATTTGTGCTATTTGTCACAACCTATTTCCTAGTTAGGACACCATGGCTTATCGTGCAGCTACTCGATCGGTAGGGACGCGCGCCATGGTGGTTTAAATAGCATCGTATGCTGTGCGTGCGTTTCAGCCGGTGTTCCCGCTACGCTGGAACCACCCTCTATAACAGATCAACGCCCTGACGGTTGTACAACTTTCGCCTGGAAAAGAGGAATGTATCTGGCCTGGGATGTGACGTGCGTTGACACAGTGGCCTTTTCCCATCTCCCATCGACGTCGGTTACGGCTGGAGCTGCTGCTGTACAAGCAGAAGATAAGAAGTCCCGACTGTATGCGTATCTGCAAGGGCGTTATATCTTTTCTCCCATCGCCTTTGAAATGATGGCCCCCTGGGGCCCGTCGGCTATCGCCATCGTGAAGAGTTGGGCTAAAGACTTCAAGAGCATACAGGAGAGCGTCGATCGCATGAGTTTTCGCGTCAACGAATATCGTTGGAGATTCAGCGTGGAAATGCTATCCTTGGCACAATGGACGGAGTGGATAGTTTAAATGAAGTTTTGCTGTTGTGAATATGACAGCGTATTTCTTTCTTTATTACCAGAACTTGTGCGATTATTAATAAAGATGCGAATCACCTATTTCCAGCGTATCGTGTTCTCAATGCAGCGCAGATTCGGTGTATTTCGGGGTTTAGGATCGCACGATGATCTACTCCAGTCGCTGAACGATCAGGGTTAGCCATCGCCTGATTTTCATTCTGGAGTGGTGTGATGCCCCAGCGTTAGTTGTTGAGACTTGAGAGATATGTTTTCTGTACAACCGCGAACTATTGCCCACGGAATATTGTATAGTCAGGAAATTTGCTTCCAGAACCCGCGAATTATCGACAGACCAGCCGACAAATCCGGGAGTCACTGCATTTTTCAAATTGGAGCCGGTTCAGCGTATCCCGAAGCGGTGCTTGGTTATTTCGCTGTCTGGACCTTTTAAGAGGATTTTTATTCGGGTGGAAATCCACTGACGAAAAAAATCTGGCTGCGACGCTACTGTTATTCGTCGGAATGCGTACTATGTACAAACAGGCGAGATTCGCAGCCACGAGTTTTTGAGGCAGAATATTTCTTTAGCAATTCAAAGGGGCAATGCCGCTTCTGTTATAGGCAGCGGCGTAGGGAGGTTTCGGTTTTGGGGGGGGGGCCTTAAGTACTGGCTTTGGGGGGGACACGTCCATAGGCTCTATGTTAAAAATTTTCCTTTTGGGGGGAGGGGCACGGCCCCGTGGCCCCATACCTCCCTACGCCACTGGTTATGGGTACTGTAGAAAATGTTGTTTTGTTTAAGTGAAACTAACTCTTGATATTGTTATCGTGCTACTGAAAATTAAAGAACCAGGCACACTATGTACTTACCCGACTGTTCATCGTCGTCTCCTCTGATATCATCATGCAATCGCAGATCTGTACCGACTTGTACAGAATGATCCCACGTACATATCTACATGTACATAATACATATATGTACATGTACATAATATCTAGGTATCTACATGATGATAATTATATATTATAGATACAGAAGATAGTACTATTATCTTCGGTATAGTTGTTTTGTAGTACAAGCCCGTTTTCAAACCTGTAGACCGCTATAAGCGGGATATTTGAGAAACGTGAGCTTGAGCCAGTGCATTCAATGCATCCAGTGTAGAGTAGATAAAATCTTTTATATTTTATTGGGTACATTTAGCTTATACACAACAGTTAACATCACAACGCAGTACACTCAATCAGCAGAAAACAGCCTCGGGAGGTCTAAGAACAGAGAACAACTGATCTAAATTTGCTCCCGGTGGAGCTGTTTCCTGAACGGAGGCCGCGTTCCCGCGCTGGATTTCTATGCTGATACGCTGGCGCAGGTATTCCGGTGCTCTTGCCTCGCCAGTTTCTTGCCGTACCCTTCTACCCACTTCCGTCAGCAGACGGGAAGCTTCCGGTCCGTTTGGTCCTAGCGTTTCGAAGCCCAGAGCGCTGAACAGGTAGTCCGGGGTGATGTTCTGGTACTTGGTTACCTTATCCTGTTCAGCCTTTGCCGCCGCTGCACCAGCTCGCTCGGATGTTGCCACGATATGCGATAATGCCACCGTACAGACGCAGGTGACTAGCCTTACTGTGCGCTATTCACTGCGTCGCGCTTACAGCTGTCTACAGGTTTGAAAACGGGCTTGTACCAGCATGTACCATCATATGGATATGCACGTTATATATACATGATGATGGATAGCAAAGCAGTCAGCCTCGATTATGTCGATTAAGAAAGTTGATTATGTCGATTAAGAATTTTTATTCGTCGGCAGAAACGGAAGGCACCTAGACCATATAGCGCTACGCTACGCCAATGCTTGCATGAATAGTATAAGTCGACATGTGGAGTGTATGGCATCTGGAGATTTCGTATTCGCATCTGGAGATTTCGTCAGTTTATCTGTCAGAATGACTTTCTAATGTGGAACCAAGGACCCACGGCCTTGGAGCACGAATTGCGCGCTCAAAGAAAATCTGCAGCAAGGCGCGGCTACGTACAGCAGCGCCCCTGGGAATAACGCTACAGGAATAATTTTTTTTTGTTTATTTAGCATTCCGCGCCAGCGGAACTATCGTTACTACATCTCCATACAGCGAACATCGTGTTACGTTGCCATTCCTCGTATTTTAACACGGCAGCCCTGTGTAACGTTAAGACTCCACTAGCGTTAGGTGCTGCTCCAGGCACTATACGTAGCTAAGTCTATCGCAGAATTCCCGTATTTTCGAAACACAATTCAAGTGACTGCTAGATGATTTCCAGTGGACTAAACCAGGGTGACCCCCCAGCTTTAGCAAGCTTAGCGACTGTATAGCCACATTCGAATAAAAGTTCACATTAAGAAACTTCTAGAAACTTTTGAGAACATTAAAACGACGTAGCAAGAGATACCGAGAAGACAGTGGAGATCTGTCAAGTTAGATCTTATCACTTGTGCCCAAATATAGAAGTAAATGATATTCGCCCAGATCACTTTTCGCAGCTTGCGTAGCGGCGGCGCCCGCTGTGGCGGAAGTTGTTCTAACATGTGACGCAGCCACTGTGTCTACGCATGTTACATACTGTGAGGAGGAGTGGCCTCTCCGTTCACCCGCGCACAGGCGGCTGCTAGGTTGTTTTGCTGTTTTGCCGTGTTTTTCTCCATCTACCAGATTCTAAATCTGGTAGATTTTTCAGTTGCTAGCCATCGTCGTCTGAGTAACTTGCTGCTCTTTTGGCCCCGCAGCATTCTGCTGCGGGAGCT